GCTCATCACACGATATTTTTCCTGGATTGGAATCGAATCCTCGCCCTCTGGCTGACTAGTCAACATCGCTAATCACTTGACTAACAGGTCAACAGTATAATCTTTGTAAGTATTTTTAGTTTAATCCTAAAAAATAGAAGCTTTACCCTTATTTCAACGGTAAACGTCCTCCATGTACATTGTAATTTTACTTTTAAATATCTGCGTATAAATAAATTGATAAACATTGGCTAATAATCATTTTGCTCATATCTTATAGCGCCATCACGGCAGTAAACAACAGTGGTTGTTTAGTAAATAGAACAATAACTATATCGAAATTTTGACATTCCATATTTAGGTAGAATAAATTTCAAAATTTTAGGGGTTTTTTGGTAGCTTTTTTTTTCATTCTATGTAAAATAGACGAAAGATAGTAAGAGATAGATATACGAGAGGAATTAAATATTCAGAGATTTACAGAAACATACTTCTTTGTTTACTGTCGTGATGACGTAATGGCATGGCCGATTGCATTTCATGTTAGTATTTGTACAACAGATAAAAAGTTAACATATTGAAATACATTTATTTCCTTTATTTATGAAGCGCTAATAATATTTTTATTTTTTGTTTATGGCAAACACAAATATGGTGTGTAAAATGTTTTTTTTTACTTTTATAAACATTAAGTATAATTTACTTTATGCGTCCGTACAGAGTATGCGAAGATCGCAAGCATAAGAAAGCCGACATTATTTCTAAGCTAAAGAAAAATTCAATCTTATAATAATGGTTTAAGCCCTCTTAAATTAAACTCTTAAAATTCTCTTTTATTCCCTCTTTACGACCTTGTATAAAGTTTTAAGGCGTCTCGTTACGTTTTATCCCGAGGATAAAATATATTCCTGCGGATAATGGACTTTATATTGACAGTCATTTAAAACTATAACATGGCCTGCCCCACTTTATTGTACGGCCCGGCGACTATTAATTAAATAAGTCTGCACAATTGGCCGCCATTATCTTAGCGGACCACCTACTCGCACAATACTTCTTCTTTCAATAAACTTTTCTAACACGATTAGAATTATGTCATAATTAAAAAATATAAGCCATTGTTCATAGTATGCGGTGAATGTTTATAGATGTTATGTTTAAGATCTTACATTTTAAAACTTTAAAGATGTCATACGGGTTAAACGCTACTCAGTCACACACCTGTGTTTCACACAACAAACTCAAAATTAGACTTTGAGTCAAAACAATTGAACGTTTTCAGTTAAATTAGTTTCACAGAAACTGTTGGAACACAATATAAAATCTTAAAACACACACATTTTGCTGCTGACAAGATTTTCATTGGTTAAACCTGGTGTCCTATTCTAGTGTGTTTCGTCTGCTATTATTTTTACCTATAATTTGTAGAATGTTGTTCCTATTTTGTGAATCACTCGTTATGAACAAACGCTTACAACTAATACTGACAGGTGCAACATTTACACCGGTGACATATCCTTGTAATAACGTGTCCAGAAGGTAGCCAGTCCAGAAGACTGCAAGAGATCTCAAAGTTTTAGATGTATCGGTAAATTTAAAAAAATATGTTTTTAAGTAATTCGTAATTGTCCGTGTGGTGACGGATTAGGAACACGGAGTGTCACCACACCTATTCATCCCGTGGGTGTCGAATGAGCCGAAAAAGGAAACTAACTACGCAGGACAACAGCACTGCAAAGAGAAGGCAATCTTGAAACAAACCCCATACCAAGCAGTCTGGCCAGCGTGGTATAGTAGGCCAAAACCTCCTTTCTAATGAAAGGCCTATGTCCAGCAGTGGACTGTTATAGGCTGTTGATGATGATGATAAAGTAATTTATGATTAAAAGGATTAGGTATATTTGGTAAATGTTAAAATACGCACGTGGTAGCAACCGTTTAAACGGCTTACAAGCATTGCCAATGTGAACAGTGTAGGAGTGTATTTAGTATAATTTATGAATGGCGTTTAGAATTTATAATTGAAAATTCTCTGCTACAAATTGGCATAAAGTCTGTATGTAAGTAAAATTTGATGATCGCGGCCCATGGACAAGTGTAACTCAAGAGACGCAAAAGCGTTGCGCCCTTTGAGTTACAGCGGCGTGCACAGGATTATGACACTAGGTATGCGGCGGAGTAGGAAAACAATATAATTTAATCGTGTGTACACAACCACACAGCCATACGTTTCATAACTTTTAACATGAAACTTGCGAATTACACTTCCTTTTTGCTGGTTTAATTGTTGTATCTCGGGTACACACCTACCTTTAGACACAATTTTAATCTTTTCACTGAATGACAATTGTGAGAACTTTTAATTTTTAATATACACACATTTTCCACACATACCTCACAATCAAATAACATTTTTAAAAAATCAATCAAAAAAAACATCAAGTCACACAAAGCGGGTGTTCATAACTCACTGAGTTATGAACACCCGCTTTGTGTGACTGTACTGTGATTTGTACTTATGATTTTCACACTTGTCATATTCTAGTTTTGTAGTGAAATGTTTATAGTGCAAACTTCTTTATATACAGTGAAGTATATATACCTAGCTAAGGGCAAGTGTAACCGACGGTTCGTGTGGCGCGGTACATCACACTGCTTCGGCATCGGGGGGCAACACTAAACTCATTGTCTATGGTCACGCGAGTTACGATTTAAAACTGTTATTCAAGATTGCTCACATAGATAACCAAAGCTCATTCCATTAGGCTTCGAGCCAAACGACTATTAAAATAACGAGGTACATTATGTAAACCGGCCGCATTTGTTATAGCACGATCCACTAACTACAGAGCGTCAGCGGTGTCTGTGGCGAAACAAGCTGGACTTTGCGTTACTGTATCGTCTATACAAATACATTTAGTTATACTATTGTAATCGGACTTTTACTACATTCCTTCGACCTTTTTGACGTATATATTTAGCACATTATAGTGAGCTCAGATGAACCCGTTCAAGAGACCAGTTTAGCATATATCTACATGATTACAAACATCAGTCGTTTCTTGTATACCCCACGATGTCAAATTGTATCTACATAATATATGTGCATGCTGTTCAAGTATTTATTATGAGACTGAGAGTTCAGATGTAGGTGGTACAGACGTATACAGTCTCACAACAGTTGTGGCAAAAAAGAATTTCACTAAAATAAGATTCTTAAATGTAGTCATACACCAAGATGGTGTGACCTTGAAGTAAAATGGTATAAGAACTTTTAACAACGTCGAGAGCCATGCTTCGGCACGAAGAGGCCGGCTCGACTGGAGTGATACCACGGCCTCACAGAAAACCGGTGTTAAGCAATTCTTTCGTTGCCTTTACTGAGTGAGTGAGGTTACCGGAGCCCAAATCCCCATTCCCGCTGACTTGAGCGGGAGGGACACCAAGGGCGGCAACGCACTTGTGACTTGAGTTGCAGGTGTCCATGGGTAGCGGTAGTTGCTTACCATCAGGTGACCCGTCTGCTCGTTTATGCCATAAAAAAATAACCGACTTCCATACAAACACTAACAAAAGGTGTCAGACGTGCGAAAAAATTGGTTTCTTAAATTAAAATCAAACCAAATCATTTTATTATTTGATTTGATTTGATTTGATTTGAAAAGACCACGATATCACATGTACCTATTGTAGACTTTCCTCCTCCAAACAATAAAATTTAAAATTGCTTTATAAATGTCAAAAAATCAGTGAGCATGTTTTAAAAACACACAACTGAACACGAACCTCCTGCTTTTTTGAAGTCAATCAAAATTAGTACGGGCTTTAATCAATTATTGATGGATAGGTGATAAACCACTTTCATCATCTATTAAATTAAATTTTTATCAAAACACTAACTGGTACCCGCGACTTCGTTCGTGTGGAATTTGAAAAGCGCCGCCTTAGTGGAGCTCTCGAGTTCTTTTCCCGGGCCGGTCAAAATTTTATAGGGTTTGTTTGTGAGCAAAAATAGCCAAACTTAATCCTAATATAGACCTCTACCTGGTAGTAAAATATTATCGAAATCGGTCCTGCCGTTTTGAAGATTACCCGGATCAAACAGACAGACAGCCAAAAAATATTTAAACTATGACACTGAAAAAAACCTATTATTTTGACATTACAAACAGACACTTCAACTTTATTTATTTGTATAGATTAAATTAAATCTTATACATCACAGAAAGATCTGTTTTACTTTATGCGATCGTCTGTTTGTTTTTGAAAATTTTATCATTGCCTGAGGCAACAAAAATTTGATATTTAAAAAAATATAGAGACGTCAAATCTGTTAAAGATCAGGTTGTACGGAAGCATTCTTCCTTCATGTTCGGTGGCGTGCTTGTTAAATGTTCTCTCCCTCTCGGCTATCTTTCACATTGAACATACCCGCTATCTCAAAGGGTGAGCCCAGACCGGGTGAGCCTGTCTGAGACTAACTGAGATACTAATCCTGCAAACTTTCCTTTAATCCACTGTATTCGTGTTGTTCTGCGTAGAAACATGACAGTGATGGGATGTAGACTCAGTGGAATAGACGGTGTTTATTGAACTAAAATTTTCAGAAACAGGCCGATAATACAAACAAAAGCTTTTCAAAAATCATTTTTATTTCAATCATGAAGACGCGTCAAATCTGTGAGTTTTAAGTTTTAAGAGGTTTGACTAGGTTTTAGGAGGCATTCTTTCAAACTTTGCAAACTTTGGAGCATGTAGTTTCGACGGAATTAAAGTTATCCGTGATAAAACTGTCCACAGGAGCAGCACTGAGGTTGCTGCTTAACCTATTTACTAATTATGAAATCGAACCATTTATCATATGACCTCACCCAGAGCCGCCCAGCCCGGCCTGTTGAGCTGTCACAAATATAAACACGGATATACGGACACACAGTACAGCGTACATACATTCCTAATACTCGAAGTTAATTTATTATTACTACGATTACGATTAACAGTTAGTGATTGATACTAAATCGCTAGTTTTGTTTGGGTTTGACTGTAACACTTCGGTGAGTCGCTCTAACAATGACTCGGCACGCGCACACAAGCAGCGCCAGCGCCAGGATCGCGACGGCTGTGACCACAGCGATGACGTCGGCCATGAGGTACTCGCTCCAGGTGACGCCCGCGGAGGCGGCGCGAAGGTGCGCTCCGCCGTGACGCAGCACGTGCTCCGTCCACCACACGGCGCGCTCCAGGGGTGTTTCCTTCTGGTCTCTCATCACATCGCGTAGCCTCTCTACGTTCTTCTTGTAACTGCACATACACGCAAATGATAATAACAACAACACGGGGTAACTGTTACATACATGTGGCCCACGGCCAGTGCAACCGGCCGGAACGTCAGGCAGAGCAGAGGTATGTAGTACCCTAACATACCTTTCGTTTGCGATGACTTTGTTGACTGCGTTGACCAAGTCATCAGCCGTCATGGTGTACGAGTCGAGCTCTTCGCCGATGCCGAGCTCGACGTACTTGTTGACGTTGTACCACTGGTCGCCCATCATCGGTATGCCGACGAGAGGCACTGCCGAGTCTATGGCCTCATCCGTGGACTGCAGACCTCCTTGCGTTACGAACACTTTGATCTTAGGATGAACTGGAAATATATCAGAAGTTAAATACTAAGCCATTAAATCTACTGAGCAGCCTAGGCAAGACACAAACGTTTCGCGTTGAATCTCTTCCTACAATTGCTATCTTCTCGGCGTAAGCGATTTTAGAAAACGACCTATTTCTTAGCGCTCAATAGAGTCACCGTGCGGGTGCCGGGTACATCACGTGATAGATGGGGGCAGCACATACGACTTAGACAGCGCCTGGGAATTGCAACCCAGGAGTAGGTTTAGAGTGTACTCCTTGCGACGCGTCAGCGCTCACCTTCACTGTCTACTGTGTTACCCCCTTTACCTAACCATATTTGATACGAGCATAGCAATGCCGCTTTGGTTATTTGTGTGACGTATGTAGAAGCTATGGTTTTGTCTATGTCAGTCCTCAAATAAAGCAGTAAGGGACGGACGGGTTTTACTGTTAACAATCTTATAGCTATATATTTTAGTGGCGACGAGGACTCAAAAAGAACTTCTACGTGTGTCGAGCTACAAAATAATAGCATATTGTATTAAAATGGCGATCGAAAAAATAGGCGCATTTAACCTTGAGAAGGACAATTGGGAGGCGTATGTTGACCGTTTCCACAAATATTTTGTTGCTAACGAAGTAAGAAAAGAGATACAGGAGATTTAGGTGGCTTCATTAATAACCGTTGTTGGGAGTGAAGCCTACGATTTAATGGTGAATTTATAAACGCCGAAGAAATCAGCCAACAAAAAGTATGGCTACTTGGTAACGACGATGAAAAGCCACCTAAACCCAAAACCTAGTCAGTTGGCAGAGAGATACAAGTTTCGTCAACGCATACAGAAGAGGGAAGAAAAAGTGGCGACGTATGTAGCGGTATTGAAAAAGCTCAGCAAAAATTGTGGCGTGTGTGTGTTCAGAACTTAGCGGAATATCTTCGAGACCAGTTTGTGTGCGAGTTAGTAAACCAGGACATACGATAAAAGCTACGAGTATTTATAGAAGACGATAAAAATATCGTTTGATAAGGCCCTCACCATTAAGATGTCGATGGAAGCAGCGGAGACACATGCTGCGTTCGTGGAAGGCTGTACTAGCGACAGAAGTACACCAAGTGCTGATATAGCAGTACATTTCGTAGGACGGAGCAAAAAAGGTTACTATCAAAGCGCCATCACACGCAATACACGTGATTTTCAGACCGGCGGCGGCGGTTCAAGTGGCACAAGCGGAGCGTGACCAATGACCGTCGTACAAGCAATAAAATTCAGAAATGTTACGTTTGTGGAGGTGCTCACGAAGCAGATAGTCACAAATTTCTATTGTATGTATGCAAAGTAAGCAAACAGGCAGGACATTTAAAGAAAATGTGCCCAACAATACGAAGCCACACTTTGCATACTATAAGTGACATGAAGAATTGCGGCATAGATCAAAGTTTAAACAGTGATAAATGTGTTAGATCTGTATATTGTAAGAAGTGGGCAGGCTAACCTACTAGGTAGATGTTAGCTTTATATTTTAGGTGTAACAGTGCCCACAAGTAAATGGCTAAAAGTATTTTGAATGCCCCGAACTACAGCTAGTGCGCTTATAAAAGTGCTTCGTACTACATTTGCACGTTTTGTCCACCATTTAATAGTAAAGAGTATCAAACTTTTATGAATAATAACGGTATTAAAGTCAAGTACGCAGCTGTCTATTATCCATCGTCTAATAGTGTAACGGAAAACGCTGTGATACTTGCAAACGGCCGATCAAGAAGTCACTGAGGGACGGGATCGCATTAAACGAGACGTTACAAGCTTACATTACGATGTATAGAAATGTAGAACATAGTTCTACTGGTGTATTACCAACCATGTTCTTACAGCGAAGGAACTTAGGAACTAGGTTAGATTTATTAAGAGAGGATAAACAAGTGGAAGCTAGAGTGCATGATGCGCAGCTTAGACAAATAAATAATGCAGGTGGAACCGATAGAACCTTTAATGTGGGTGACACTGTGTGGGCCCGTAGCTTTACCGGGGATAAGTAACAAGACGACACGGTTATGGAAAAAGTGGGGTCCCGTAGTCATATTTTCGGCAAGGAGAGTGGTCCCTTCTTAAAGAGACATGTAGACCAAATCAAAAGAAAAAGAAGTAGTTACGGGTTGTCATCTGCAGAGGACATTTCGTCATCAGATACTAAGTTGGTAGGGGAGAATTTGGTATCGGAAATTGCAAGTTAAAGGCTGTTTGGGTACAGCTCAGGGTCTAAAACCTTAAATGAGCTTAATTCAGACAATGGATTGACCGAGTCAAATCCAAGCGAGTCGAACACATAGGAACCAGAACGAGTAGAAAACCCACAGGAAGAATTACCGGTGAGCCGCCCTATGAGACCATAGAAACCTGTCTGTAGATATGGTTTCCAGGAATTTGATTAGAATTGTTAACTTAGTATTATAAGTGATTAGTACACAAGACCATACGAAGGCTGCTATTTATGTTTCCGGAATAACACAGTTAAACAAACACAGCATTTATTATAGTTTTATTGCTTTTCAAAAGTAGACTAGAAATATTGTATAAAGGGCATCTCCTGTGCTATCATCTGAATAGCAATAGTTATGTCAGTCCTCAAGTAAAGCAGTAATTGACGGACGTGTTTTACTGTCAACAAACCCATAGCTATATATTTTACAATTCGTTCAAGAAAACAGCTTACTGAATCGTTCGGCAATCCACGGTCTTTAAGTAAGTTATAGAGAGATTTAGCTGGTATACACCTCGCACCCACTTCCACGGCATACAACGCAACGAAATTTTTTTTTTTTTGTTACTTCGTTGGTAAAGTAAAAGTACTTGTTTCTTTTTAAAGCGACGCCTTTAGGGCTGTTCGTTTCCCACGGTACCGTGAGTTTTACTACGAGTAGTACTGCACTCTTAACTGACATTACGTACAGAAATATGTCTGGTCTGGACGCCGAGGCACAGACATCCTCCGGTAGTATGTAATGATTTTCGTACGTTTTCATTAATAATGTCCAGTCATAGGCGGTATTTATAATTGAGTAAGGCCTTTGTGAAGTATTTTTTGTTGAGCCTTCCTTTACAAACACCACGTTAGTTCTTATGTTTGTCATTATTCCTTTTTTCGCTCTCGCCAGTGATAAGCTTATAGCTTCGTGTAGGATTTGTAACATCCCTATCATGGCGACGTGAATAATAGCAAGGCCTAATAGCTCCATACAACCTCTTAGTAAGTGTCTGGCTGTACCTATTTCCGCACTGCTTATGGTACAAGTCTTTTCTGTAGCTTTTCTCCACCTTACTGGGCGTATAGTTTTGAGGTAAAATTTTAATAAGGCAGGTGACCAATCGTGTAAACGTGTGCGCCATTTCAAAGCTGGTGGGATACAAAATTCATCTAGAGTTAACCATTCATTCTGCATTTCTAGGTTCATTGCATGCACCTTGTAGGTCTCGTTTTCATCGTGTTGTAGGAAAGATTTGGTTATCTCTTTGTCTGTCTGTCTTCTACCATTTTCCGATCCAACTTTACTGGACTACGTACCCACCATACATTTCTTGTGGAATTGGAGCCGTGACTCGAGATCTGATGAATTTTTGTCTTTTGGAAGAGATCTAACGATTTCGTCTTGTGATTTTGACAAGACATGCATTTTGGTAACTCTTAGGTGTTTGTAGAGTTCCGGTTCCGGTGTGAGAGGTCTTTTTAATTTAATTCCAAAGTTATTCGAGTCCCTGTGTAATGTTGATGACGGGTCTGCAGATGGTGCTGGCCCGAGCCACAACTTTAATGTCTTAGTGACTTTCACGTCCAGTGTTTTTAAGTTAATCTGGTTTATATCGTATACCAGAAATGGTCAGTTAAGACGTGATGTTAAGTAGTTGTTCTAAATCCAAGCTTCTTTTACGTTACTTATTAGCTGATGGTCTACCTGGTCAATGTATTTTACGAAGTCATTGATTACTGCTTTCATAGATGGGACAAGAACTTTGTAGTCTATCTTTCTTCCCAGGAATTTAAAGGGCACGGTTTCTGATTTTATTGAAACACTTTCCCACCAATAGTAATCCCGGGGTCATATGAGGTATGTCTGGTAACTCGCCGGCCCAGACAAAAGCAATAGCATTTGCTAGGTCCTCATTCCCTCCGTCCAGGTACAGAAGTCATCCACCTTACGGTAGTTCTTGGCACTGCTTCGGGTTACGTGTAAGGATCGCAAGGTCGTCTGCGAATGCTAAGATTGATTCCGTATATTTTTCATTGACCTTAAATCGCTAGCTCCGCCTCTTTTCATATATTGCAATGTTGTCTTTTAATATATATATAACTGCATTAAATACGGTGATAAACAGAAACCTTGGAAAAACCCTACTTTATATTCAAGGGGTTTTGTATGTCCCCCTTTTGCTGTGAATACAAATTTTAGTTCACTATAGTATGATGCAATTATTTCAACAACTATTGGCGAAAAGTAATACCATTTCAAGGCAAATAACATGAGCTTGTGTCGTACTGAGAAAAAGGCGTTTTCTAAATCTAAGGCCCGTATTTTAAAAGGTGTCTCAGTCGTGAATCTAGTCTTAAAACTAATTTTAAGTAGAGATTTTATTATTGAACGTCACTTAAAACGAGATTCACCGATCCATACTCAAGTGAGTGATAGCTTATTTTAGAACGATGTTTATGTCGAAATCATTACTCAGGTATAGATTTTGACAGCTGTGATCTTTGTTTACGTGAGACAAGCTGAAACTAGTCTCAAGCGGTGATTTCTAGGGCATTTAGGGGAAATGAATGTGTTTTACGATGATTTCTTTTTGAATAATTACGAAAGAATTACTTGGCATACTATCATCAATTTCACTTTCATTTACCTTAATTGATATGAAATTCACCAAAATTCACATTTTACACACACAATACCAGTTTAAATTACCACAACCTTTTTGTTTATGTTAAAAGTATAGTAATTTAAATTTTAGAAATATCAAATAAAAACATCGTTTGACATTTCAACATGACAAGTGTTGATAAATAACTTGAACGTTTCGTTATAGCCAATTCATACAGCTAGTCATTTTTATTTTAATATTTATTATACTTAATTTTGAACGAACAACAACCTTGTTAATATGTTAACATTGCTACACTAGGCAATAGTATATTATATACAAATTCACAGAAATTATTTTGGTAAAAGAAAATAATTTTTTAAATAATTAGCTGCGTAATGTGGAATAATAGTGTCAATCACGCGGAAACGTAATTGAGAACAGACTGTAAGTTCAAATCAATACTTGAAACTAGTTTCAACTGAGTAAAACTTAAAACGCGTTCCATAATAAGATCGATACTTAAGATTTGATCTGCACTTTAAACTAGTTTCAGGCAATCAGAGTTCAACCGACACTTGAGACGTCTTTTAAAATACGGGCCTAAATAAGTTATGTTCCAGACATCCTGAGATTCCGGGTATGAACCCTTTCTGGTGATTTGGTCTGCAGTAATTATTGTTAGACATAAACTGTATTATTTTTAGTATTAACTCTAGCAAAATATCGCATAAATATGGTATTACACAACACTTATGCAGTTCAAAGTCTATGTGCGTGTGTCACTTAGAAATGTTACGTTGATGCAATTCTGTAATACACAACATCGGCAGCAAACTTAAATGTAGTACATACCTTTTGTATGACATATTTTTCTTTCTTCTTCTTTCTTTATACAGTTGACACTTTTTTAATAGTTATACCGTGATATATAATGTAATTATAGAACAGAAGACTAAAGAATATAGACACTTTGTGTGCGTGTGCTTGTAGTTACTTGCCGATAAACATAATACATGTACGTACCTAATAAGTCTCTCTGAGGAAACCATTTCTGCACCTTGACATTTTTCGACAACTTGGGCAGATCTTCACCGTCAAACTTCCACAGAATGTCATACGGTAGGGCTTCAAAAGCATTCAAAAAGGCATCCAGGAAATCTCGATCCATCATTGAGGGACGGACGTTGCTCCCTAAGCTCACATACACCACTCCGCGAGAAGAGTTGTCTAAATAAGTCTTCAGGTCCTACAAGTTAATCAGTCCAATAAGTTAGTGAACGTTTTTTTCAATGCCACTAAGATAACAAACTAGCCTTAGGCTTATCTGTGATATACTCCCGGAGAATACTCTAAGCTGTAAGTATTAAAAATCATAAATCAGCAAAATGTAAAATAGATAATCAAGCAATCAGTTTTTGAGTATATATTCTTCACCCACCGAGATCTGCCTAAAAGCGATTTCATTCCTAACGAGGGTTTTTGTCAACCAGGCGGTGCCCATAAAAGAAAATAGACGAAACAAACGATTTCATCTACAGAAGGTCAGGCTTAGGACTTAAAGGTTATTGAATGTTGAAGGTTCCAGCACGCGTCCTTAAGGCAATCCAGAAACAACTGTTCGAGCAGGTTATTCTGCCCCCGATAGTGGAAAAGGCGCATCTTACATTTTTTTTTTTGAATTTGAGTTATATACATATATATAGCTGGAATCATATATTTTTAATACTTTAATACTATCGATAGTGCTTTTAATCTATTTTATTGCTAAGTGTAATCATTAGAGGTTTCAAATTGAAAATATGCTTTTAGTAAATCTATTTTCATGTTAATGAGTCAGACGAAACAATTAATAGACAATGATATGTACCTATTATTTATTATCGTTATTCTTAGGCCAGGATTATCTTCATAGTTTTTACTACTTAAGTAAAAAGGCGCATATAACTTAACGCGCCTTTTTTTCTTAAAACATAAAGTACAGATCTACTCACAAATACTTACACTAAAAGTACTCCAAAAAGTTGAAATTTAAAAGGCGCATCTGGCTATTTGCGTCTATTCAATTAAGAAAGTAGTTTTATTTTTTATACTAAAATAAAACGGTTTTTTGTCATTTTAAATTAAATCACTTAAAAATATTGATATTACACGCTTTATATATTAGCTTCACTTCTATGTTTGTTTGTAACCGACTCCTTTGGGTGTGATTTTGACTGACTTTAAACGGTCAGAATTCGTTCAAACTTTGTAGATAATTATATCGAGGACCGATGACAACACACTAATTTAAAAAAAAAATGAAAAAATAATAGTTTAAAAAAACTAAAAAACACGCTTTTCATAGAAAACCAAACTAAAAACAGAAAATAAATTTAAATAAATTTGAATAAAAGCGTTGGGTGCCTGTTGTCAATAGTAAAAAGCACCCCACGCTTTTTTTTCAAATTTATTTTTTTTTATTTTTTTAGGCGTTTTTTTTCTTATTACGTGGTGTCAAGACTATTATCATGGCTATAAATTTCTATTATTAATATGTAATTATTTTAATTTACTCCAAGACAGTGAACGATTTTCCATTAAATTTATTAAAATATTTTTTGTCCATTTTGACTTGTTTACATACGCCTTTTCAACTATCGGGGGCAGTGTTAGCTTCTTGATAATGTAATGATGCATATTCTACAGATCTGAGTTATTTGATTTCCCATAATTAACGTTGTATTCTCCCTCATCCCGTATTCATACTATTTGTCTTAAAAGAAAATTGTATGATCAAAGAGTCTTATTTTTTCTATTTATTGCAATAGTTACGGTAGATAGTAGGGTATCGCTACATCAATCCTATTATGTTAGATCCAACTCATTGTCTAAAAAGCTGTTTAAGTCAAATAAAAAAACCAATTTGATACTCAAGAACCTTTTGAAATATTGCTGTCATGGTAGGATCCAGTGCAGTGCTGTTGGCCTACTATGAACTCTTACAACAGGTCAATTTTAGCCGAGAATTGAACGGTCGCCGTTATTTTTTACTATAAACGTGGTAATTTAGAGGCATGGCTTTTAAGTTTTGTCGTTTAGAAAAAAACACAACTGGAACCTTCTAGTACTTTTTTTTGCTTTTCAAAGTATTCACCACGTAGCTTAATACACTTTTCCATTCGCTCAAACCAGTTATTATAACATTTATTCCACTCTAAAGTGGGGGTGTTCAAAATGGCTGACTTGAAAGCGTCGACGTTGTCAAAGGTTTGACAACGAAGGTTTTTCTTAATTTTAGGAAATGTAAAGAAATCGTTAGGGCTTAGGTCAGGACTGTGTGGAGGATGGTCAAGAATACTTTTTCCTGCTTTAAATACTCAATCGTTTGACGAGCGCTGTGTGAGCTTGCGTTGTCGTGGTGCAGGATGATGCGTCGCTTTGAGTTAGATTTTCGAAGTTCGGCGATGACTTGTGGTAAGCAAACTGAGGTATACCACTCTGCATTAACCGTTCTACGATCTTCAAGTGCAATAGTCGCAACATGGCCGGTTTTCCCAACGAACGTGGCCACCATCTTCTTTAAAGTGCTTCGAGAACAAACAACTTTAGTCGGCTTTGGCTCGTCTTGAAAGACTCAGATTGTAGATTGTTGTTTGGAACCAGGATCGTGCCTACTAGATCCAAGATTCGTCACCACTGATGATGTCGTAGACGTGATTTGACTCTCCTCGGTTGAACTTTTCAGAGTATTCTTACACCGCCTTGTCATCGTCGGAAAGCAGATGCGGTATCCAACGGCAAATTAGCTTTCTCACACTAAGCGCTTCATGCAAGATCTTATCAATGGTTGTCCCTGAGATGCCTAATAGAGCCTCTATCTCTCGATACGTCACATGACGATCTTCGAGAATTAGTTGTCTCACAGCAATGATGTTATCTTTAGTGAAGGCGGATTTTGGGCGTCCTTCGCGAGAGTTGTCACTTACACTAGTATGCCCACGCTGGAATTCAAAATACCAGCGCTCGACAGTCCGCAGACATTCTCGCACATTTGATTTAGCAAGAAGATAATAGCTAAAAGTTTATGGAATTCAAAAACCTTATCTTACCTGGGGCAATTCTTTAACAGGCTGCAGGTGCAGAGCTCCTAGGTACACCACGCTGGGAGGGACGGGCCGGTTGTTAGAGAATATTGGGTGCGAGTTCAAAAACAACATCTGTACGTTTTTCTCCATTTCTTCTATGCTGGGAACGTCTGGACCAAATGTTTTCCTTAGTGCTTCGTTTTCTTTTTGTCGTTTTATTCTTTCGATGTGATATATTTTATATTCTATATATGTTTGTCTTATCTTTTCCAAGAAAGAAAGGTTTCTCATTTTCTGTCTAAAAAAATTTGGATAATATAAGGGATGAATGCTGACAGCGCCCATAGCTTCTAAATGCTCTGGGTATCCACAGAACGAGGAAAAGAGTATTACTGGCGCATTCAATATATGGGAGGCTACCAAGTGGTAGTTACCTATCGCTTCCAAGAACACGAGATCAAACTTTTGTGATTTGTCCTTTAAGAGTTTTTGTACTTCAGGTAGATTGAATTCGTGTATCACTATTTCCAGCATACCTGCTAATAGATCGTCATGGAGCGCTACATCCATATCCATAATAGCTCCTCTCTTCAAAACACCTCCAAACTCTTTAAATATCCAACTGATCCATTGATATGCTTCCGAAGTATCGATTTCAGTAATGTTGTCCGGGGGCCTGTTTTTGGGCAGCGCGGGATTCGGTGTGATAATAACCAATTCATGGCCACGTTTAGCTAACTCCAACATCAACGCTCTGAACACCACCTGGTGACTGATAGACGGCATGGGGAATATGCCCAATATTCTTGCAGGCTCCACTTGCGGCACCAACTGCACACAGAACAAAATCAATAAACCAGCACGTAACATTATGATTGAGTGTTTAATGTCATATGACGGCGGTATTTGTATTGTCAGCCATTTAAACACGACGACGACAATGACGAAGACTGCATTTCATTTAACAGCTGTATGCAGATAATCAATAATCAGATAATTCGTCCAAGTGGTGGTGACGTAGTGGTGAATGAAAAATTGAGTGCCGGTGAGAAATAATACTACTGTTACATAACATTCGTATTCCATAGAGATATAAGCTTAGAGAGAACACGGGGTACTGCTTAGTAAAGGGCACTAATGCTAATTAGATTTAATTTAATTAATTTCGAATTCTTATGTCTTGTCGTGTCAACTGCTAATGCTAATATTGCAATTTTGTTCACGAAATAATGCATTATTTCGTATTCTGTATTGCGTATTCAAACTCTGTATTGCAATACAGAGTTTGTTAGCGAAATGCTAGCCTTCGTCAATTCACCACTTAACACTATCTATTTGAAAATATATCCCTATCTATTCAAAGAAATACCTATGTACAATGCCCACTCTTCAAAACTTAAATTAGCTATACCTACCCAATAATTAAACTTCTCATTATTTAAAACTGTAGGCACCTGTATGTAGGTACCAATTCTATGACTCGCAAAGGAGACGGCGGAGCGGGACCGGGAGAGGTTTAGAACTCTCCCGGCCCGCCAGGCCCGGGCACGGGCCAGGCAGCGCAGGCGACTCAGGCGCCGGAGGTCGCAGAACGACCTCCGTCCTCCATAAGCGCAGGCCTGGGGGTGACAGGTGAGGCCATCTGTCACCCTAGCAGAAGCAGGCCGGGGTGGCGGCGAGCGCGTTGCGAAGCGCGCTCGCTTCCAGGGAGCACAGGGAACATGGGGTTCCCACACGGGGCGGGGGTCGTCTACTCGTCTGTAGATGACCCGAGGTATGTCGGGGCACCAGGGCCTTCCTTTCTAGGGTATACCTGGTTCCCCGGCTATTAGTACCCGGCGAAGGCGTGCGGTAGTCGGTTCGTGTCCGACATGCCACCGACAGGTGGTATCCGAGGGGATTTCCGCACGGAAAAAAAAAAAAAAAAAAAAAAAAAAAAAAAAAGGTACCAATTCTATGAAAAACTAAAAACAATTTAAACGACGCCTACAAAAAGGCATTCAAAACAATATCTAATCTCCCGGCCACTTGCTAATGCTAAAAATTTAATGAATGAAATAAAAAACATATTTGTGCAACAAACATTCCTAAATATGTGCATTTCTTTTGAAAAAATAGACATTAAAATCTTTTGCACTCTCAATCAATCACGCAGCGCGAAATTTAAAATTATTTAAAAAAAAATTAAATTATTTTAAATTTATAAAAGTATTAAAATTATGTTTAGCACGACGATTTATTAAATTTAATTTAATCTTCGTGTTGATTTGAATGAGAAAGCACACGCTGTGGGAATGTGAAGTGTTAACGAATGAAGTGACGAAATTTCGTGTACGTATTAATTCATACGTTCACGAAATTTAACGACTACAATTAATTTGCTAACTGTTAATTAAGAATTCATAATTGAATATGAGTGTGAAGACTAATTATTCCATCACTAGTACAGCTGCCTGCATAGAGATATAGAGGGAACACGGGGTACAGCAGCCTGTAAGTGGAAGCGATACAGGCAACGAGAGAGATGGATGCCCGATAATTTCCTCTGTATTTGTTTAGCTAACCTGCGATTGGCTACTTCTTAACCCCTCCTATTCCTCAGCCAACCTCAGAGCTCGACTAGGAAGAAATAGAGGGAACGATCTATTATCCATCTCTCTCGTTGGCTGTATTGCAAGATTGGGGCTCTTGGTCACTCTATGCTTATATCCCTATGGTAGTTTCACTACAAACAAATCGTTTGACAGCTTAATATTGCGCCAATAATGAGTTCGTTACATAGTGTTTGGAAGTTACAATTTTCTCAATAGCCATAGTGTCTGTTTGGAATTGTTTCACGTTGTATGATTTTAACTAAACTATATGTGTATAAAACTCCTTTCTAAGAAAAGATCTATGTCCAGTCGTGGACTATTAAAGGCTGTTGATGTGATGTGATATAAGTGGATAATATGGCTCGTTTAGTAGTAATGTACAATATTTTACGTAAAACTTAAAAACGTATTAAAACTGAGACGAAATGAGCGTCCAATGATGCGATATAACGATGCGTATTCGGTCCGAATTCATTGGAATAGATATGATATTTATTTTATTTGGATATTTTTATTTTACTTATTCCTTCGAGCAACTAGACTAAATATAATGCTACCATTTTTTTTGCGTCTCCTAATTGCACTGTGTTGCCAGTATCTTATGATTTTTAAGATTTATGTGTGATCCAAAGACAGAAATACTGTTTTCTATGATTTAAAAATAAATACAATTAAAATGATTATGTATAATTTTTAACATTTATAATATATAAAACAACATTTATTAAATATAATTTTCTCCCTCAATTAAGCAATGTTATAGGTGTATTTTTTTAAGTAATTGGCGATACTATTCTGGCAACACCCTTACCACCGCTATTTTAGTCGTCTTCCGTACTCTCGTGCGCACAGACTACGTTCTCTTGTGTAACCGTTGTTTTTTGACTCGGCTTTCTCCTGCTTATCGTTGCGCTTTATTGGACTAATTTGTTTGTGTTTGGTAATTTTAAGGAAAACTGAGACGAAATGAGCGTCCAATGATGCGATATACGGATGCTTTTGGAACGAAGTTCCTTATCGCGCGTTGTGAAAGGGGGCTAGACGGAAAAAAATCGTACGAAAATTTGTCACGACACTTTTAATATAAATTGACGTCTAACTGTGGATACCATACATTAAATTTGCTTTAACGTTCGCCAACGTCCATACCATGTTGAATACACCGGTTCTCGTCCGATCACAGAAGTTAAGCAACATCGGGCGTGGTTAGTACTTGAATGGGTGACCGCCTGGGAATACCACGTGATGTTGGCTTTTTGCTCTTTATTTTCGTGTCATCTTGTCAGACATTCAGCGCCATCTATCGAATAGATAGGAAATCATTTCGCAAGGAGATCGCCTTATCACTGCCAGTACAATGCCATTGAGCTAATATGGGCACAAATCAAAGGTATTGTTATTTATCGCATAAGTTATGAATATGAATAATTTGTACTATTATAACATCCAATATTCAGCATATAAGTAAAAAGATACATAACTAAGAAATAAATATCTCATGTCCCTTACATGTAGGTAATTGTGTTAATCGTTTATTTAATGTAATAAATTAACGTTATTTAATGTTTACATTACAGGTTACGCAGCTCGTAATAATACGACTCCGCCATTCAGTACTAATAAAATGATGGGTCTATTAAAAGATGCTTGCAGCAAAATAACGAAAGAAGATTGGGTCAAGGTCGTCGAAAAGACTCTAAAACTAATAACAGAAGATTATGAACGCGATATAAGAGTGGACACCATTATAGACAATGAAATTGTCATACAAGTGACTGATAGCGATGACAGCTCTGGCGAATCTGGTTCAGAGTCTGAATAATTGTTTTAATAAATGTGGCGTTGTAATTAAAATCGTGTCAAATCAGTTTAACTCGATCGTCACAACTTCGTTCCTATCGGGTGTCCCACGACACCACACGGCTTTTTTTCTATGAGTGAGGAAAAATTAAAAGCCAATTACCGAGTGAGCGAAGATTTGTTTGAAGAATTGTTTTCAAATATAAAGCCTTTTATGCCAACTTCTAGAAGAAGTGATATATTACCAAAGTATAAAGTATGTTTACGTTACAACTTGTAAGGTGCACACACCTAACTATTGTTTTGTGAGAGGTTTAACTTAATATTATTATCAAAACTGTAGATTCTAGTGGCACTATCATATGATAGCTAGCTATATAGCTAGCTATATACTAGATATCCACCACTATATAGTGGTGGATATTTATGCGACTGGAGTTTACCAAATGCTGGTTGGAGGCACAAATGGCAGCTCGTGTATTGTAAACGACACCACTAAACCACACCACTGGGGTGTTGTTTACAACTTGTTTTGTCAACGACCACTGCTGTCTTGTAAAACGTGAAATAATACAATTCATTGTGTTCATTTTTATTGATATGTTGAAATTGTTCGAGCTCACAAGGTATTCAATAATATAATCTGTAACAACAAAAATCAACTAAATTAATTATTAACTTGATCCAATATTATGCAATATACATTTTTTTCTCCATATCTTTGTTTCACTTCATCTGCCATATTTAAAGAACTCCAGTGGTGTGGTTCAAAGAGCCATGCCATCATAGAAGTTATAGCAGCTCTCAATCACCATTCTGTTAAAAAACAATGGATTAGGTTTCCTCAAACCCGCCAATATCCAAAATACTCTATGTATATGTATATGTAATAGCTTTTCTATAAAAACATTAAACAATACTTTGTAGTAGGTTTTATTGAAAATTCTGGATCCCATCAGTGTTAGAATGTATCAATAGCACTCATGTGGCTATAATTAAAGTAATAATTAGGTTACATGAGGAGAGATATTTTTATTGCAAACATTTCGTCTCTAGAAATTTTATGATTGTAAACACTTATTTTGATGAAGTTTTTATTAAGTAAATAACAATTTAGAGGAGAATCTACTGAGGTGTTTTGCTTGGAATCAAAGTCCTGTGAAACATTTAATTGGTATAATCGTAATAAAGAAGATGTGGTTTTACTACATTAGTTTTATTGTGAATAAAGCCAAATATTACGCATTCTTAGTTTGTAAAAATATGTAATTACATTTTTAGGCGATTGTGGATATACACAAAGGGAGTATATGATTACACCAATAGTAGATTCTGCTGTTGGCTTGCCAAAAGAATATGCGCCTGAAATAGGAGGGATCACGGAACTGCTGTTATTAAGACATCCAAACCTCTCCTAGCGCCTTCCCACAAATCGCTGCCTAACCTTCAGGTGAATTCTCTATTTAGGCGATGTACGGCACACGCGGACGTCACCTCCTCGCGGCTGGCCACTATACTTCTATAGGATGATGGAGGGAAAATCCCGTCTCCGCCCACCCGCGGGCACATTCAGGGCAGCATGAGGCGCTGGTAAGCCTCTCTCCGCCACCTGCTTCTGCAAAATGAAGTCTTCGCAGAAGGATGCGACCGCGGTGAAACATCTGTCACTAACGGCCATGAGCAATGCCAACAAAGAGGACCTGGCGCTGCGACACACTTTCCGGGCAAATTGCCAGCTTGTGCTGTGCCGATTCTTCACTGCAACGAGCCATCGTGGCTCGGCGAGTTGCTTCACGCAATTAGCGTACTTCTTCGGGCGGGGTTCGACTGTCACTACCCGCCCGGAACTCCGCCGTCCGCCGATGTACTACGGCTAGCATTTCCGCCTCCAAATTCCACGGAGGAATTCCGGCCAACGCGCAAGCTGTCTCCGTCGAAGCGGTGCGGTAACCACGTATGGGTCTAACTGCATATATTGTCTGTGGGCGCCAATGGCGTGCTCTATTATGGGCGGTCAGAGCCGAGTTGACCTCGATTGACGTCCCGGGGGGTGGACTACGACAGGGCCCATAGAATAAGAGGGCCTCTGTCCAGGGCCACCCGTAAGCCCAATGAATCACTGCGCCCGACCACCAGAGAGACTCCCCTGGTGGCCAGGCACGCCTCTTCAAAGTTCGCACCTCGGGCTGTGACGAGGGTATTTTATATATATATACTTTGATTTAAAACCTTTATCAAACGTATGGAGTTATTGTATTGATAACAATGGAGATCTCAATAAATATTATAAAAAAATAATTCTTAAGAATTAGTTTTAATTTGTTTAACAACAATCAAACAAAAATAATGTCCCGTTTAAAGATTATTTAATTAAGTATGAAAACACGTCAATACGTCCTAACACTTTGAATAAGACCTCTAAAGACTTACTTTAAACGTTATTTTATAGCTTGTAACTGCCTTCAAATGTATGTAAAGAAAAAAGTTGTGATGAAATATAGCTCCCCACGTTCACGATCACAATGTGCGCGGCCTTTTATATATGAACTGAATGTTAAATCAATAATCAGTTGCTTAGTTCAGTTATCTACCTGTAAAATTGTGGTCCATACAATAGTTAACGAGATAATTAAATAAAATTCATTTAAAGTCAAATCTATTACATTTAAATGAACATTTTCGACATTATTTTACTTTGGTAACGCACGCCATTTTGCCAGTCACATGCCTTACTTGAACTCCTCTACTTTGTCTAGTAACACCACGTGATGAAGTGTTACTCGTGAAGTGAAAGCAGACAAAAAGTCGCCATAAAAATATTCTAATCCTCAACACAAATGTTTGGACTTGATCTTTAATCGATATTTCGAAGCTCATTTTAGTAAAATGGATTTTTCATTTATTTGACTGTTGTTAAACTTTATGCACAAAAAGTACAATGGCGTCCGCTCTTTTACTTTTTGTGCATAAAGTTAATGCCTCAGGCATTCTCTACCACTCTACCGTAGTGGAAATGAGTGATAAGGTGCAATACACTTTAGTTAAGAATTTTAAAATTCAACAAAAAATAATTAAAATGGAAATACCGTCTCGCACAAAAAGAAAAGAGAAGAAACGGGCTTAGATTTTAAAAATAATTTAAAGGAATACTGTTAGTGATATAGCGGGTAGAAAAAGCTGGGGTTAAAAGAAATACTCGTAGATAATAAGATTTTTTTTCAGAACCCTATACATATAATTGACTATGAAATAAATAGAATCCACATCTACTTACCATGTTTAAAATAATTTCACATTGAAATACTAGCTCTATGGACATATTAAAAAAGTCGGACGGAACTCTCGCTAACACAATACTGAGCCACCGTAATGGCGGCAGCTATGTGAAACAGTGTTAGGAATAAGGATACTACACAGTCGACGACTTCTTATCTTATATTTAAAATTCTCGTGTCACAATGTTAGTTACCATACTCCTCCGAAACGGCTGGACCGATTTTGATGAAATTTTGTGTGCACATCGGGTAGATCTGAGAATCGGCCAACATCTATTTTTCATACCCCTAAATGACAAGGGTGACCCCCCCCCCACCCAATTTTTTTTCAATATTTCCTAGAAATAATGTATATGGCAACAACAACGTTTGCCGGGTCAGCTAGTGTAAATATAAAAAAGGGAAACTATTTATTTTATTTATTTATTACTTACTTTTTATTAGCTTATTTCTTGATTAATATAAATCTACTTGTTACGTGAAGAAACTATTCGTTCAGTAGTAGCTTATTATTTAAATGTTTTGTTTCTGTGAGATTTCGTGTTTTTTTTTATTTTTTTCTTAATTGTTTCATAAGGGTACGCTGTAACCTGGATTAATAAAGTGTTTAACTATAATTAATGGCTTGATTTTAAATAATATCATCAATATCAAAAATATCATTACTGTTAGAATATTAAATAAAAAAGTATATCTATGGTTTTCATTGGTCGGAGTTCAGAGGGAGAAGCTAGTACTGAGGTGCCCCTGCATAGAGATGAGAACAGTATTCCATATGCGGCCGAACTTGCGCCTTATTGAGTTGGAGGCGATAGGCTGGAGTGGAATACTGCCTTGATCTGTTCAACACACTGAGCTTCTTCGAGGCAAATTGGACCATACCCTCTAAATGACCGCAAAACTGGACTTCGCTTGAGATGTCGATGCCTTTTCTTTTTTTTAACTTACAACTTACAGTGTTAATTTTAAGAGCAATAGGCCCAGAGCCGCCCAGCCCAGCCTGTTGAGCTGTCACAAACATAAACACGGACACACAGTACAGCGTACATACATTCCTAATATTAGAAGTTAATTAAATTTTACTATTATGATTAACAGCTAGGGATCGAAACTGCAGCGCTAGCTTTGTTTGGGTTTGACTGTAACACTTCGGTGAGTCGCTCTAACAATGACTCGGCACGTGCACACAAGCAGCGCCAGCGCCAGGATCACGGCGGCTGTGACCACAGCGATGACGTCGGCCATGAGGTACTCGTTCCAGGTGACGCCGGCGGAGGCGGCGCGAAGGTGCGCTCCGCCGTGGCGCAGCACGTGCTCAGTCCACCACACGGCGCGCTCCAGGGGTGGTTCCTTCTGGTCTCTTATCACATCGCGCAGCCGCTCTACGTTCTTCTTGTAACTGCACACACACGCAAATGATGACTAATAATAACATGTATTTTAAATTTATGAGCATATTAATAATTAATATAGCTTAGGCGCGTCTTAACGATTAGACTATTATGACAGCGTTTTGGATTCACGTTTTGGTGGACATGGGTAACGACACAGGCTAACTTTTATTTACATTTAATTAAAAAAAAAAATACTTTTAAGTACATGATTTGTGATCATGTCAAGTAGCGGTCTGCCTGCAAATGATGACTAATAATAACATATATTTCAAATTTATGGGTAAAATAATAAGTAATATCGAATTCGTTTATTTGATTAATTATATTGTTTGTTTGTACTTAGACGCGCCGTAACTATTCGACCATCTTGATGGCATTCTTATAACTTTTATATAAGTAGGTACATGATTTATGATCATATCAAGTAGCTGTCAACCGGTCGGAACGTCAGGCAGTGTAGAGGTATGTAGTATCCTAACACACCTTCCGTTTGCGATGACTTTCTTGACTGCGTTGACCAAGTCATCAGCCGTCATGGTGTACGAGTCGAGCTCTTCTCCGATGCCGAGCTCGACGTACTTGTTGACGTTGTACCACTGGTCGCCCAGCATCGGTATGCCGACGAGAGGCACTGCCGAGTCTATGGCCTCATCCGTGGACTGCAAACCTCCTTGCGTTACGAACACTTTGATCTTAGGATGAACTGGAAAAATAAATACATTAAGTGTTGCAATAATGCCTTTTCTATTGTGGATGAACGGGCGTTATGTTTCTCCAACACAAAGGGAGATTAATCCGAAGAGCTTAGGTGATCATGTATGGCGGACCGTGGCCCCGTGTTCACACTTTATTACTAGCGATTTATCGGTGGTAGCTATACATACACTACTCACCGGCTGACCCAGTGGAGAGATTTATGAGATTACCTCAGGGCGCCTTCTAAGAGAACAGAAGTGTGTGCGTGTGGGAAACCTACGGGATTCCTTAGAGGAAAATAACTTACACCTCAGTCATACATACATGTATATTTCAAAAACAAATTAAAGTTACAATAAAAAATAAATTAATTAATTAGTGGGTACAAGAAAAACCGCAGCGGAGCGCGTCAGAGCCGAGCTGATGGTGCTCGGAGCCTCCTCGTCTTCACTCCAGGAGGTCACTTCCCCTTCCGCCCGAGTCGGCTATTTATATTAGGTATTGAGGAAAGTTCACGATTGGTATTTATAAAGTTAAATGGAAGTACGTAACCCTTGAGTACGGCTGTCCGCTTGGTTTGTGAGCCGCGTGACTGCCAGCTTGCCAGAGGGTACCGAGAAACTTGAATGGCCACAAACTAACAAGCACGCCGTCTGAGACTGACCGTCTTGACCCGAAATCTGGGACCCTACGAATGGATTAGCACTCATATTATTGATCAGGTTCCAGAAACAAATAGGTACAAGAAAAATTAAGAACATACTCACCACTTTCGTGGGTACTTTGAACAGATAATATATTACGAATATCAAATCACAAGACAATCAAAACACTATTTAAGATTTTAAGACACGAGATAGCAGAGAGTCCCCGTGGCTGAGAGCCGGACTTATATATGTTAGGTTTGAGAAGTTTCCAGAAATAATCCCTACTTAACATTTCAATTTGACATTTAAATTATCAACGAAGTCAACACGAACAAAATCAAAAGTAACTCGCTTCCTACCATAACAGAACACTTCCAACTCCTATACAATTTGTCATGATAAATTAATAAAATGATTTATCTACAAACAAACGCCATCTAGTGGTCCGACGGCGAACGAAGAACATCAATACTGTAGCTACAAACTACTTTGGATAATCAACAAAATGCGGACTAGGGCAATAGGTGTCGCTGTAACAAGTCCGCAATACAAATATACTAAAAATAACTGTTACAATCCCATATTGCGTGTATATTCCCTGCTCTCAAATCACTATCAGAAGTTAAATACTAATCCATCAGTTGTGCTCAGGTTTAGCTCTAGAACAAGGATCTATAAGATTATCCTATACCTAAGTTCGGCAAAATACCGTTTGTGTTAAATATTTATCTTTTCTTTATGAGCCGTACATTTATTACGAGCATGAAACAAGCATGCGCGTTATCTTTAAATCGATGATAACTAATAACACAATAACCCATTGATAATAACTAAGAGATCATAATTCATTACAAAGGTCGGTTAGAGTCTGTAAACTTGAAACTGCAAGAAGTGCGGCAGCTCGCCAACAGTTCTTCTATTCCGAGACTTTATAATAAAGTTAACAGAGAGCTTAATATACGAGTATTTTATACGATTTCACCGTGGGAGAGCCATGCTTCGGCACGAATGGGCTGGCTCGACCGGAGTGATACCGCGGCCTCACAGAAAACCGGTGTTTCTTTCGTTGCCTTTCACTGAGTGAGTGAGGTTATCCTAGCCCAAATTCCCCCCCGCTGACTCCAGCGGGAGGGACTCCAAGGGCAGCAAAGCACTTGTGACTTTTGAGTTGCAGGTGTCCATGGGCGGCTTTAGTTGCTTGCCATCAGGTGACCCGTCTGCCCGTTTGTCCCCTTATACCATAAAAAAAGAACGAATATATACCTTTAAATTAAAAAAGTGACTGGTGCCTGACTGGCTATATGCGTTGTTTTATGAGGACACGGAATGTATCATAAATGTTGTATGTTGAAACACGTATAAAAGCACATACACTCACTCACATTTACACACACACACACACACACACACACACGAGTGGCTAAATGTCCTATAATTATCATCCATTTTTTTATCTAGAAGTTTTGCTGCTGTTTACAGTCTTTTCACTTTTTTTAGTTGTTCTAATATTCAATATTTCTCCTTTTTAACTTTGAAAAATATTTTAACAAACGAATATTGCAATGTAATGTTTATACATATTCGGAAGCGGGCGTTAATAGTTGCGACATAGTTCTTTCTACTGCAATTATTACCGTACTATTGTATTTTTGACGTTGTAACAGTAGTAAATAGTAAATGAAAATTATGCAGATGCCATTCTCCAACTTATAAACTCAATATTACTATATTGTCAGTGATAACTCTAACAAAATATCGCAAATTACATCACACTTATGCGGTTTAAAGGCTGAGTACGTGATGTAGCCTGTGTGCGTGTGTCACTCAGGGCGAATTTGGAAATATTACATTTACTCGTATGTACTTCTGCAATACAGCAATACACAACATCGGCATTAAACGTAATTAATCGTTTTCTTTCTTCTTCGTCTGTTCAAGTCGTTGTTAAAGTTCTGCCCATGCCAAGTCGTTGTTAAATGTTCGTCAGTTACACTTCTTTCTATGCACAGTTGACACATATACATTGATATATGATGTGATTTTAAAACACAAGATTAAACAAAAAAAAATATAGTTTAAAAAAAATAAAAAACACACTTTCTATAGAAAACCAAACTAAAAAACAGAAAATATATTTGAAAAAAAGCGTTGGGTGCCTGTTGTCAATAGTAAAAAGCACACCTATAGAAAGCGTGTTTTTTAGTTTGTAATTGTTTTTATTTTTATTTTTTAATTAGTGTATTGTCATCGGTCCTCGATATATCTACAAAGTTTGAACGAACTCTGACCGTTTAAAGTCAGTCAAAATCACGCCCAAAGGAGTCGGTTACAACATACAAACAAACATACAAGTGAAGCTAATATAAAGCGTGTAAAAATATTGACTTATCGGCCTCTTTATGTGCGTGTATGTGTAAGCTACTTGTAAATAGACATATACATGTACGTACCTAATAGGTCTCTCTGAGGAAACCATTTCTGTACCTTGACATTTTTTGGCAATTTGGGCAGATCTTCACCGTCAAACTTCCACAGAATGTCATACGGTAGGGCTTCAAAAGCATTCAAAAAGGCATCCAGGAAATCTCGATCCATCATTGAGGGACGGACGTTGCTCCCTAAGCTCACATACACCACTCCGCGAGAAGAGTTGTCTAAATAAGTCTTCAGGTCCTACAAGTTAATCAGTCAAATAAGTTAGTAAACCTATTTTTTTCAATGCGGTTAAAATAACAAACAACTTAGGCTTATTTATAATATATCCACAGACGACACTAAGCTGTATCTATAAACAATCATAAATCGGCAAAATCGTCCCTCGAGGCAATCCAGAAACTAATTCCACTTTTCTGAGAAGAGATTATTAGCTTCTTCATAATATAAAAGTGTTAAGGTTTAAAATAGAAATATTGTTTTATCTGTGTCACTGTTAGAAACTGTTTTATGTATCTGTGTCTATGTTGTCTGTGAAAGTAAGAAAATGGTAGCGAGTGTTCTAGTTAACATGTGCCAGTACATACCAGATAACTATATGTGAATGTGCCTCTGTTAAGTAAAAGGCTTAAATTATACTAAATTGTTTTCTTTTTAATATAAGCCCTAAAAAGCATATTCTATAGATCTGAGTTCTTTGTTTTCCTTTACTTAACATTCTAATATTTCTCACCCCGTAATCATTAGAATTGTGTGATCAAAGAGACTTATTTTTTTCTACTTATTGCATTAGTCAGGGTATTAAGATAGCAGTGTATCGCTACATCAATCCTATTCTACAAAATCTAAATCAATGTCAACCATTGAATGCCATTTAATCATAATCTAATCAACAGTTTTTGAAATATATCAGTCATGATATACTTTGAAATATATCAGGCCCTTGTACTGTATGTTGGTAGCAATTTATCTAACTTTATTATTCCCGATTTAAAATGGGTTAAATTATTAACTGTTTCAGAAGCATGTCTGCTTTATTTTATTTATTAATAGCTATTATAGTTATTTTGAGTTTATTGAGAAACACGTGATGAAATATATAGTTCTGAGAATGTCTTTGTGGAGGAACGGGTGTCATGTCCCTCCAACACAAAAGAAGGATCCTCCTGCCAGGCGAGGTGATCATGCCTGGCGGGCAGCGGCCCAACGGTTGATGTTGGGCAATTGTATATATGCCAATCGCCGATGGAATTCTTCATATCGCGATACAGGATTAGCAATTCTCATTTAGTAGTTACTTCGTAGTTCGGTTTGTCTTTGTTAGATGGCGCTGTAGTATGTTTCTGTTTCTTTGTTTGTGGGAGTCGCCACATCTTTTACTGGTTTTATATAAAATGTAATTTAGTTTGTCTACTTAATTTATGCTCCCCTTATCGCACAAATATATCACCTACGCTTAAATCACGTGAACACACTTCACGTACATGAACATATACCTACAATAGATGACATGTGCATTGCGTAGCGTGTAATAAAACTAATCACTAAATCCTTCATATTTTTTCCTTTAGTCATTTTATGAGTAACTGATTTTAAAACGTGATAGGTAAGTGATCTGTCCGTGTGGTGACGGATCTACAATCAGAATACAGTGTCACCAACCCTATTCATCTCGTGGGTGTCGTAAGAGTCGACTAAGGGAGTAAAGTACGCAGGACAACAGCACTGCAAAGAGAAGGAAGACTTGACACAAACCCTATACCAACAAGTCTGGCTAGCGTGGTGTGGGAGGTCAAAACCACCTTTCTAAGGAAAGGCCTATGTGGACTATTAAAGGCTGTTGATGAAGGTGTGTGACCGTCACTGAAATATGAAATAATTGATCACAAGTGTCTTTACGGTTGTTTTTAATTAATCCGTATATGAAGAATTGTATCCATATATGAAAATACACACATTTACATTTAGAAACAGGATAATAGCTAAAAGTTTTTGGAATTCAAAAACCTTATCTTACCTGAGGTAATTCTTTAACAGGCTTGAGGTGCAGGGCCCCCAGGTACACCACACTGGGAGGCACGGGCCGATTGTTGGCGAATATTGGGTGCGAGTTCAAAAACAGCATCTGTACTTTTTTCTCCATTTCTTCTATGCTGGGAACGTCTGGACCAAATCGTTCTCTTAGTGCTTCGTTTTCTTTTTGCCGTTTTAACCTTTCGAAGTGATATATTTTGTATTCCAAATATATTTGTATTATCTTTTCGAAGAAAGAAAGATTTTTAATTTTATTTCTATAAAAACTTGGATAGTATAAGGGATGAACACTGACAGCGCCCATAGCTTCTAAATGCTCCTGGTATCCACCGAACGAGGAAAAGAGTATTACTGGGGCATTAAATATATGGGAGGCTACCAAGTGGTAGTTACCCATCGCTTCCAAGAACACGAGGTCAAACTTTTGTGATTTGTCTTTCAAGAGTTTTTGTACTTCAGGTAGATCGAATTCGCGTAACACAATATCCAACATACTGGTTATTGCTTCGTCATTGAGCATCCCATCAATATCTATAATAGCTCCTCTCTTAAAAAGATTGCCAAAGTCTTTAAAAATCCGACCGAACCATTGATATGCTTCCGAAGTATCGATTTCAGTAATGTTGTCCGGGGGCCTGTTCTTGGGTAGCGCGGGATTCGGGGTGATAATAACCAGTTCGTGACCACGTTTAGCCAACTCCATCATCAACGCTCTGAACACCACCTGGTGACTGATAGACGGCATGGGGAATATGCCCAAAATTCTTGCAGGCTCCACTTGGGGCACTAACTGCACACACAGCAAAATCAATAAACTAGCACGTAACATTCTGATCGAGTGTTTAATATTATATGACGGCGATATTTTTATTGACAAGTATTTAAATAAAAATAATCTACACTTAATTGAACAGCACTATGTAGATAATCTGAATAATCAGATAACTCATCTATTAGTGTTGTCATTATTCTGTCTCAAATTCCGACTTACCCCACTCCGCTCATAGAGTGTGCGGGCCAATTCTTGAGTGCAAAGCACTGTAGTGCTATTCTCAAACGGACCATTTTGTACTTTTCTTCTCTCTCAGACCTCCTTTAATTCAGATTCATTTATATCGCTTATAAAAAATTAAGGTCTAGAATAATGGTCTGCTCTAAAGTTCTAAAGCGCCAAATTCTTCACTAAGTTAACGACAGAACTCTTTTTATGTCTTCAAAGAAAACATACACGTACACTCTTCTTGCAGTGCTGGATACTGCCTTCCTTGTGTTTGGATTAGCTATTAATCACAATCAAATTAATGATCAATATCAAACTGGGAAGTTGCCTATGTACATAATTATGTATGAATATATATATATGTATATATTCATACAAAATTATTGGTCTCTTGGATAAATCTATATTTGTTAGATTTTCAATAGTTACGTCCCTTTTGAAGGGGCCAATTAAAACAAAATTAATTTAATATTTTATGAGGAGTATGCCTCTTATTCATATTTTAGTATTGTTATCTTAGTTTATGAGTAAAAAAGTAGGGATAGAGAAGAGGTGCAAGAGAACGATGGTCGTAACGTCTGGACTAGAGTACTATAATATTACTGAAGCGATTTCGAGTTCAATTGATTTTATAAAAACACCATCCATTTGAATTTATAAGAAATACTAATTGGTAAACTTAAAAGGCTGTGTTTGGGTATGAAAAAGTATTGTAAAGAGTGGCTTGATTGTATCAATTTTGTGCTTACAATTTTATAAAAATAATCAAATAATAAGATATGTTTATTGCACTATCGATTACATTTAAGAATACCGAGGAGGGAAATAGGGACAGAGAGAAATACAGAGGTTGAGTCATTTCGAATCTTAACCGATATTTGACTTTGTTAATGTTGCAAACATAGAAAGTATCGATTATCAACGCTAACTGTTGACTACAAATTTAATTCGGGTGACCTAACAACACAAGTCGCTCTAACACAATGTTCCAATACAAAATGTTGCCATAATTCCTTCACCATAAATAGTTGTCCAGCAAGCGTTCAATTGTGTGGCGGTTGATCCCATGGCCCGATGGCGGTGTGACAGGTGAGTACAAATTGTCGACCCTCGTCAAGGGAAGCCCCGGCATTGCCTGCCCGAGACGTGAGCACTCCTGTTCGACGTGTCCTTTATACTCGATATTGGTATGTCTTATAGATACACCACATACTAATGACTGTTACATTTAATGAAATAAGATCACGGACAGAATGGAAGACCGGTGAAAATGACGATAATCAGACAGTTCACTAAGTTATTATCGAAATGTCTATGAGGTGCACCAAACCAAATTACGATCATTTCATTTTGCAGAATATGATGAAGAAGATTTACTGCAGTGCCTATACAGTTCTTTATTATATCGTATGAACCAGCCGCATTTGTTGCAGCACGATTGTCTGTGCCGAAACAAAATGGACGTTACGTTATAGTATCTTCTATACAATTACATTCAGTCGAAGTGTTCATTTGTAACATCGTAATAACAGATGTTTACTACCTACATGTCTCCGAACGTTTTAACGTATCACTTTTAGTATATTATAGTTAACTCTAAGTCGGAGGAATCTGTTTGAGAGACCAGTTATCGTACAAGCTATTGTTATTGTTTAGGTCGCACAAAATCATATCGTACAACTGACACGTGATCTAATCGACAAATAGCTATCGTGTCCTGTAAAACCAAAATATATATACTTACATAAGTATTAACTGTGACTTGTGATTCAGGAGGATTCAAACACTAACAAAAGGTATAAGACGTGCTAAACAACTGGTTTCTTAAATTAAAAGACCACAATACATCTTTAATACGTTTCCTCCCAAAAATTTAATTTAAAATTGCTCCATAGATGACACAAATATCAAGTAAGTAAGTAGCACGGGCTTTAATCAACTATTGATGAATTGATACGTGACGAGTACAACGGTAACTTGTGATAGAGGCGAGGATGATGAACCACTTTCATCATCATCCGTAGCTTTTAGTTGCCTAATAACCTAGCATGGTCCGTGTGGTGACGGATTAAGAATACAGAGTGTCACCACCCCTATTCATCTCGTAGGTGTCGTAATAGCTCGTAGGTGTATAATTGAGAAAACTACTCAGAACAACAGCACTGCAGAGAGAAGGAAAACTTGACACAAACCCTATACCAACCTGTCTGGCCAGTAGTATAGTAGGCCAAAACCTCCTTTCTAAGGAGAGGCCTATGTCCAGCACTGGACCATTAAAGGCTGTTGATGTGTTATGGCATCTAAAAGCTACGGGGATGTTGAAAGGAGAATGTTACTGCTAAATCTCAGTTTGGCGATTACGGTGCGTAAACTCAAGGATACTACCCTAAAACTCCCAAAGGCAATGTTTATGTTGCGCTAAGTCGCGTAAAGAAGGCATTATGAAGGTGTTGCTGTTTGCGACTTAGAGCCACACAAAGAAAAAAAAGCAACGATTAACACTAATTATAAAGATTTAACTTCGAGTAGTTGGTGAACATATATAAAAAAAGATTCCAACGAATTGAGAACCTCCCCCTTTTTTTAAGTCGGTTAAAAAGAAGAGCTCAAATCTGTCGTAGATCTGGTTGTATGGAGGCAGTCTTCCTTCTTATTGCTGGCGTGCTTGTTAAATTTTCTCTCCCTCTCGGTTGTCTTTCACGTTAAGTACACTCACCATGGCCAGCACGGATGACGTAGCGGTCGCCACGCCGCTCATTACTAGGCCGAGTGTTGTGGGTCACTTTGTGTGATCCGCAAATTGTTGTTCTGAGTCTGAGTGTTCTTTGTGTCCGTTTCATGTATGTTTGTAAAGTCCTTCGCGACATAGGATATAGGAATATGCGAGAGTTGTCTTTAAAAAAAGAAAATACCTTGGTCAGCTATCTCAACGGGTCTCAGACAGGCGCAACCCAGACCGGGTGGTGGTTACAGAGGCTATAAGGAGACTAAACCTGCACACTTTCATTTAATTCATGGGATGCGGTCTCAATGCAATAGACGGTGTTCCTTAAACAAAGCTAAAATTTCCAGAAACAAACATATGACATAAACAAAAATATGTATTATTATAAAAAACATTTTTATTTCAAACATGAAGACACGTGAAATCTGTAAGTCTAGGCTATAGACTAGGTTTTAGGAGGCTTCTTTCAAACTTTGCCAACCTTGGGGCAACCGGTTTCGTCGAGTTATCCGTGGTAAAACTGTCCACAGGAACAGCACTGAGGTTGCTGCTAAATCTATTTACTAATCTATTACTATTCTGAAATCGAACCAGTTACCATATGACCTCACACTGGATGTGACCTTTGGACCTGATCGATGATGCCAGTCCAATGTGTAGGTCAAACAGTACTGTGGTAACGGTATACAAATTTTATTGTTATTTTTAAGAGCAATAGGCCTAGAGAAAGAGAGAAAGAAAATTTATTGGCACATGCAAAATAAACAGAGCCTATTACTATTACGATTAACAGCTAGTAATTGAAACTAAATCTAGTTTTGTTTGGGTTTGACTGTAACACTTTGGTGAGTCGCTCTAACAACGGCTCTACACGCGCACACAAGCAGCGCCAGTGCCAAGATCGCGGCGGCTGTGACCACAGCGATGACGTCGGCCATGAGGTACTCGCTCCAAGTGACGCCCGCGGAGGCGGCGCGAAGGTGCGCTCCTCCGTGGCGCAGCACGTGCTCCGTCCACCACACGGCGCGCTCCAGGGGTGTTTCCTTCTGGTCTCTTATCACATCGCGCAGCCGCTCTACGTTCTTCTTGTAACTGCACACACACGCAAATGATGACTAATAATAACACGTATTTTAAATTTATGAGCATATTAATAATTAATATCGCTTAGGCGCGTCTTAACGATTAGACTATCATGATAGCGTTTTGGATTCACATTTTGGGGGACATGGGTAACGACACAGGCTAACTTTTATTTACATTTAATTTTTCTAAAAATACTTTTAAGTACATGATTTGTGATCATGTCAAGTTGCGGGCTGCCTGTGGCACATTTTGTTGATGGGCCACTGCCATTCCCTCGCCACTGTTATGACACTGAGTTAGTGTAGACTACCGATATTTATACCGATGAAAATGGCCACTCGATGACATCTCAATAGCGTGTTAGTGGTATGACAGTGGCTTGGCGTGAACATAAAATAGCAGAATTGAGGCCCAGATCGTTGCCGGACGCGTCGGGCAGTGCAGAGGTATGTGGTGACCTAATGTACCTTTCGTTTGCGATGACTTTGTTGACTGCGTTGACCAAGTCATCAGCCGTCATGGTGTACGAGTCGATCTCTTCGCCGATGCCGAGCTCGACGTACTTGTTGACGTTGTACCACTGGTCGCCCATCATCGGGATGCCGACGAGAGGCACTGCCGAGTCTATGGCCTCATCCGTGGACTGCAGACCTCCTTGCGTTACGAACACTTTGATCTTAGGATGAACTGGAAATATAAATACAATACGTGTAGCAATAACGCTTTTCATACTGTGGAGAAACGGCTCCGGCGGTCCGACGAGGATATCATGGCTGGCGGACCGCGTCCCCGTAGTCACACTTCACTATGAGCGCTTTGTCTGTGGTATACATGTTGTGTGTATATTTTCTACACTCAAATCACTATCAGAGTTAAATGCTAATCCATCAAATCAAAGTGTACCTAGTAGATCATCCTATAAGTTCGGTATAATACCGTTTGTGTTTAATATTTAACTATTCGTTATTAAATTATTTATTAACCGTACAACTTTTATGAAACTAGCATGTGCGTTATCTTTAAATCGATGATAACTGATAACATAACATATAACTAATTGAAAATTAATAATTGAGTGATCATAATGCCGATGCCATTCTCTAACTCATAAACCCAATTTAGTATCGAGTGATGACTCTGACAAAATAGCGCATAAGTGTAGTATTACGCCACACTTATGCGGTTCAAAGGTTTGGTACATACTGTAGTTAGTGGCGGACTTGCATATTTGCGGCCAGTAGGCTATAAAATTTTGTGCCGCCCCCGCATTGTACTAGAGTATTGTTTTTTTTTTGTTAAATTTCCTTGGTTTTTTTCATTCGTGTATATAATAATGTTATTTGATTTAACTGAGACCAAAAGCTTTTTAAATAAAAAATTTACCGCCCCCTAAAATTTGCCACCCTAGGCTCCAGCCTTCTCTGCCTACTGGTAAATCTGCCACTGACTGTAGTATATGTACCTATATATCTCTCGTGCCTATATATTGTCTCATTCCATTGTAAATATATTCAACCAAAGAGATATTTATTTTAAATGTACCCTCTTATTTTTATAATACATACAAGTGTAAGTACTTATTTTTTCAAACTTTTTTATTTCTGTTATTCGAAGTAATCACCCATGCAATCGACGCATCTTTGCCAACGCATTGGCAGTTTATTGATGCCCTTCTTGTAAAAATCAGCTGGACGGGAGGCAACAAACTCTTCAAAGGCATTTTGTACTGCCTCTCGGGAATTGAATTTTTTACCGCTAAGCTACCGTTAAGTCCGTCTTACCGTCACCGTCCACCGCTTAACGTCGTTTTAGTGTAGTATTCAATAGCATAACATTACAATATAACCTGACTATAACGCCAAAATTGAATTTTAGGATTAATATATAAAGTTAATTAATTCGACTATACTATCATTTGATAGTGTTTCAAAATACCTATCTTGCAATATCAAAATATCTGTAATAAGTGGCATGATTTTTAATTTTATTTTTAGTTTTTGGCTCATATCTCAAAATGTGCATTTGTCAGATAACGGCATTATAGTTTGTGGACGGCTGTGAAGGTCACTCGCGGTATTATGGATAACGATACTGATAACCGGATAAAATTAAAAGACTGATAATGCACTCAGTTTCACACACACTACACTACACACATAAACCAATACTCTCACTTTTCAAAATAAAATTAGCGGGACTCGTTACAACACGAAGTCTTGCGCACGCGATAACATTAATTGTTCACACCATTGCCGTGTATTATAACGAAAACAATAAGACCAAACAATTATTAACACAACAAAACTTTTATAAACAAATATCGCACGAACAACAACAATATTATTGTAATGAACATTTGTCGTGAGCGCATCTACAAGGACACAGAACAGCATTAGTTAACAATGTTAAGTACTGTAAGCACACCGCAGTGGTATGTAGCCATCTCCTAAGGATAACTCACAGTGACCATTTTCATCTTTTATCGTCCCGGGTGGCAACGGCAGGCAGGATCGGAGCCGGGCACGCCGTCATCGCGGCGGTAAGACCCGTTATGGAGGATTGGTTCGAGAGGCATCACGGGACCCTCTAATAATGATTGACGCAGGTGATAACTGGGAAACTGTTTCGGGGATCACCTGTGTCTGATCCGCAAGTAGCCAACGCCTGAGTGCCACCACTGCGATGGCCAGACCGTGGACACGGCTCTCCACACGCTAGCAGAGTGCCCGGCGTGGGTTGAACAGAGGAAAGACCTCATGGCGGCCATCGAAGTGGTAGTTCTCTCGCTCGATAGCCTGATTGCGGCTATCGTGCGGAGCGAGAGTGCGTGGAACTCTGCCGTCTCCTTCTGTGAGCAAGTTATGATCTCGAAGGAGACGGCGGAACGGGACCGGGAGAGGCTTAGAACTCTCCCGGCCCGCCAGGCCCGGGAACGGGCCGGGTACCGCAGGCGACTCAGGCGCCGGAGGTCGCAGAACGACCTCCTTCCTCCATAAGCGCAGGCCTGGGGGTGACAGGTGAGGCCATCTGTCACCCTAGCAGAAGCAGAGGGAACATGGGGTTCCCACACGGGGGGGGTCGTCTACTCGTCTGTAGATGGCCCGAGGTATGTCGGGGCACCAGGGACTTTTTAGGGTATATCTGGTTCCCCGGCTATTAGTACCCGAGATGGCTTGCGGTTTTAGTCGGTTCGAGTCCGACATGCCACCGATGGTATCCGAGAGGATTTCAGCACGGAAAAAAAAAGGCAGGATCGGAGCGGGCTTATAAATATTGCATATAAAAATGTCCTGTGGTATCACATCACATCAACAGCCTATATTAGTCCACTGCTGAGTGCTGGACATAGGACTCTCCTCTGAAAGGAGGTTTTGGCCTACTATACCACGCAGGCCAGACGGGTTGGTATAGGGTTTGTTTCAAGTTTTCCTTCTCTTTGCAGTGCTGTTGTCTTGCGTAGTTTTCTCCCTTAGTCGACTTTTACGACACCCACGCGATGATGGTGGTGACATTACGTATTCTTAATCCGTCACCACACGTATTTATGTAGATTTAGTCCTATCATGTCAATAGTATAATTAATTATTCCACACTGACACCACATTAGTAGTATTAGTAGCATCTACATTGAACCCGTGCGAAGCCGGGGCGGATCGCTAACAATTATACTGCTCCGATCTGGCGGCCGTTTCCACCCGGGGACCACTAATATTTTAAATTCTCGAATTTTCTCTACTATAATATGAATGTATTATGCATTTAGCTTCCCTAACTAAACCTTTCTCTTGAATCACTCTCCCTTTTGGTGAAAACCGCATTAAAATCAAATTTCATATTTTATTAATTTAAATAAATGATAACAACCGAAACATAAAACTTCGATAAACTTTTATCGTGTGATCTTGTTAAGTATGATTTTAATATGAATATATAATACTTTTACCAGTGGGATTTTTGTCTTTCAAGTGTTCTGATGTCACTAATATAATTACAAAAAATAATTTGTGTGAGATACTGTCCCAAGCAGCATAGCGCTCATGCCGTGACGGCCGCGCGGAGACCTATTTTGGCCATGAATACAAATTATAAATAATGAAGATAGAATTCCGGGAGTCTGGATTTTTTTTTTTGGAAAGTACGTTCTCTTTATAGATCTTTTTTTTTTTTAAATATTAATAGATTTTGACTTACTAACGAAAAATTAATTATCTTTTCTTATAAAGAATATAGACTTATCGTCCTCTTTGTGTACGTGTATGTGTAGCTACTTGTTGATAAACATAATACGTACCTAATAAGTCTCTCTGCGGAAACCATTTCTGCACCTTGACATTTTTCGACAACTTGGGCAGATCTTCACCGTCAAACTTCCACAGAATGTCATACGGCAGGGCTTCAAAAGCATTCAAAAACGCATCCAGGAAATCTCGATCCATCATTGAGGGACGGATGTTACTCCCTAAGCTCACATACACCACTCCGCGAGAAGAGTTGTCTAAATATGTCTTCAGATCCTACAAGTTCATCGGTTTTTTTCAATCATCATCATCATCATGAGCCTATCGCAGTCCACTGCTGGACATAGGCAGAGGCCTATGTCCAGCAGTCATTATATGCCATTGTTCGCCTCGATAATAAACTAGCTTTAGCCTATATACATACATATATATATACTAACATATACATATATATATTTGTTTATTGTGATTTAATCTGAAATAGGTTAGGCTTAGTCTTGTATTTTATATATCACTTTTCTGACGAGCAGGCTATTAGCTTCTTGATAATGTCAAGATGCATATTCTACAGATCTGAGTTATTTGTTTTCCCTTACTAAAGTAACATTGTATTCTCTCTCACCCCGTAATCGTACAATTTGTCTTAAAAGAAAATTGTGTGAACTTATTTTTTATATTTACTGCAATAGTTACGGTATTTAGATAGTAGTGTATCGCTACATCAATTCTACCGTCTAACTCATTGTCTATTAGACTATTTAATGCCAAATGGAGATGCAATAAAATCACAATCACCTGTTATAAATCAAATGATTTAAAGGGCATATAATCCCACCCGTGACCAATTTACAAAACCACTGCAACTTTTGATTATGATGACACGCGAAAGGTCTGAAACTAAAAATTACATCTTATCTCGTATCGTATCGTATCGTGTGTGATGCGAAGCGATACTACGACCGTACGAATAAAATAAGTTTTGATTACATTTATCTTTGTCTATGACATAATCACAGAAGAGATGTATCACAGGTGAAATCGTAGTGACTAAGCCCTAAGATTGAACATGATTATAATTTAAAAGTAGCTATACTTTCTATCACTAACTGCCAAATAATCAGTATCTAATCAAGGATCTTATGAATGCTATTATAATGATACCTGTTATATTGATGGTATTTATTACAGTTTTTTTTAGTGCTTTTTGTCAGTATTGTTTGAAGTTAGTTCCTTTTTTTTAAAAGGATTTATGTTTATTAATAACGGTAAAAATTGTTTTGAGTTTTCTAGAAAGATATAGTTACAGGAATGTTTTATACCGGTTTGGCCGATGGTAAATATAAAATGTAGTTTAGTTTCTCTGCTAAATTTTTGCTCCCATCATCGCACAAAAATATTACCTGCGTTTGAGTCACGTGAACACACTTCACGCCCATGAACATATACAATAGATTAGATTGCATGGACGTAGCATATAATAAAAATAATCACTAAACGATTGTCTTTAATTCATACGAGTATTAGATAATGAACAACTCGAATTCAGAAAATAATCTTTAATCATTTGGTTTCATTCGTCAGTTGTATGGTGCGATGTGTGTATGCAATTGTATGCTTACCTAATGAGAGTAAGAGAGACAAATAAGAGACAAATAACTCCGATCTATAAATACGCACATTAACAATTATTTAAATACATTAGATAATGCAAGAAAGCAATTATTCTTACCTCAGGCAATTCTTTAACAGGCTTGAGGTGCAGGGCCCCCAGGTACACCACGCTGGGAGGCACGGGCCGATTGTTGCCGAATATTTGGTGCGAGTTCAAAAACAGCATCTGTACGTTTTTCTGCATTTCTTCTATGCTGGGAACGTCTGGACCAAATCTTTCCTTTAGCGCTTCGTTTTCATTTTGCCGTTTTAACCTTTCGAAGTGATATATTTTATATTCCAAATACGTTTGTCTTATCTTTTCCAAGAAAGAAAGGTTTCTAATTTTATTTCTATAAAAAGTTGGATAATATAGAGGATGAACACTGACAGCGCCCATAGCTTCTAAATGTTCCGGGTATCCACAAAACGAGGAAAAGAGTATTACTGGGGCATTAAATACATGGGAGGCTACCAAGTGGTAGTTACCCATCGCTTCCAAGAACACGAGGTCAAACTTTTGTGATTTGTCCTTTAAGAGTTTTTGTACTTCTGGCTGATCGAACTCCTGTAACATTACATCCAGCATACCTGTTATTACTTCGTCACGAAACATCACATCGATATCAAAAATAGCTCCTCTCTTAAAAAAAGTTCCAAACTCTTTAAATATCCAAGTGACCGATTGATATGCTTCCGAAGTATCGATTTCAGTAATGTTGTCCGGCGGCCTGTTCTTGGGTAGCGCGGGATTCGGTGTGATAATAACCAGTTCGTGGCCACGTTTAGCTAACTCCATCATTAACGCTCTGAACACTACCTGGTGACTGATAGACGGTATGGGGAATACGCCCAATATTCTTGCAGGCTCCACTTGGGGCACCAACTGCACACAGAGCAAAATTAATAAACTGACACGTAACATTCTGATCGACTGTTTAATGTTATATGGCGCCGATATTCGTATTGTCAACTATTGAAAGATAAGTAATCTACATTTCATTGAACGGCACTATGCAGATAATTGCAATAATCAGATAACTGTTGATAAATGTATAACGTGAGAAATAATACTACTGCCTGTTGGCAAAAATGGGTCTTGATGAAACCAATTGGAATCGGTAGGTCGAAGAAGTAGCAATACACTAAATCTATAGGAGTATATCACGATTGGACTTAATTCACTCTAAACTTTATAAAATCACTCACAGTTATGTAGTATTACCGATGTATATCATTATGTATTTAGCTGTAAGTCTTCCATGCCTATAATTACTTCGCCAACATATCTTGAAATATTGTTGTTAATTCTTCTCGGAATCTGACAAGCACATGTCATTTTTATATCCATAACCGTGCCACCGATTAATTCATTAGTATCATCTCTAAACACCTATTTATACGTATTTTTACCGACTTCCGAAAAGGAGGAAGATGGTACCTCTTCCTTTTTTCATGTTTTTTTATGTTGTAAAAAAAACATGGCAAAAAGGAGGATGTTCGAAATCTTAGAAATTAAAGGCACTAGGAAAATAATCTTTATGGGATCGGTTGAATGACCGTATGCTTTCCTAACTATCTGTCTTTTCGTTTGTCTATCTGTCTAGACTTTTTTCACACTATCCTAACATTACTCACTTATACTTAACATCAAATACTTATATCCGGTAGTTCCTTTAAATTGTTTAGAGTACTACTACTTACACACTTTAGTGGAAAGCTCGGCGAGGAAGCAATACCGCTACAACCTCGCGGCGACTATTGGCGTGGGAAGGTGCCCGGTGCATGGGATTTCGACGCCTCGTTTTATGAGGACGTGTTGCCTCTGGGGCTAGTTTACTTCAGTCACAAAGAAGGGAGACTAAACAAGGCAGGACGTGGTATTATCTAAAACTTGAATGGACGCTAAACTGGGGTATGGGTTGGGTCAACCCGAATAATACCAAGGTCACACAGAAAACCGGTGTTAAGCAGCTTATTCGTTCGGGCGCACACCGTTGTGTCTCTTCAGCTGCAGTTGTCGATGGGCAGCAGTAGTCACTTGCCAGCATTAATGTAAAGGAGCGCGATGTTTCTAAACAGAAGCTATTCCAAAGGTCGCGGGTTCGATTCCCGCTCAAGTCAAACATTTGTGTGCATGAACATTTAATGTTTGATTTGGTCTGGGTGTTTCTATGTATAATAAGTATGCATTTAAAAATACATATATTTTTTATCATCAAAGTCGATATTCATATCGATTACAGAGAAAAGGTGAGAACCAGTAGTAGGGCTTTTCAATCGCAAGTAGGTAAATACTACGAATAGAAATACTATACTCACGCGCAAGGTCAAGGACGTTTAAATTATTATTCGCCGGAGTGTAGTGCGTGCATACCTGGACAATGAGTTTAGTGATCGGTTGATAGGTCGAGGAGGGCCAGTGCCTTGGCCACCTAGAAGCCCGGACTTAACGCCCCTGGATTTTTTCTTATGGTCGGAAATAAAAATACTTGTTTATACACGAGAATATGAAAGCCGTGATAATTTACGCATTGCGATAGTGGACGCTTTCGATAAAGTGAAAAGTGATAGAGACACATTAAGAAAATTAAAAAACAATTGCATTAAACGTGGACGTTTGTGTATTGAATGCAGCGGACTCCATTTTGAGCAGTTGCTTCGATACAGAGAAGTGTAAATAGTGTAAATAGGTATGTAAGTTAATTATTCTGTAGATAGCTCCGATTTTTTAAATACGCTTGAAATATTTATACCTACAGTCCGTTGATAAATTGATTTGTTGTGAAAAGAACAATCGTGGTTAATAATCGAAAAGAAGTTTATATAAAATAGGTATTTCCGACGATCCTAAGCCCGTGTAAAGTATGAAGGACAAATTGGAGTCTATCTACGTAAGTACTCGCTAGCTCGCGCCAATAGGTATACTTATATCAGCTGCTGTTAGCGTCAGCGGTGCTCAGCGGCCGCCGAAACGCCCACGGACGTGTTTCATTCATATAAGATAATGAATGAATGATCAGTCCATTACTACTTTCCAAGTCGATCGAGTAAAAATGAATATTAAAACTAAAACTTTTTTTTAAACAACATTACAATTGATTTAATCATTTTTATTGGTACTATAGATGATTCCAAATTAAAATGTTTCGTTTCCAAAACGGCTAAAAAGTCACCGTGTATATATATATATATAAGACAATAGTTTATATTTCAATTGTATTTCAATTGTAAGAGGCTAAATAAAACTTCCATTTGTTTCTCTGTAAGTAAAGAATGCAATTTTATTTATCGAGTAGGTTACACACTGATACAATCCTTACAAGACTAACACAATCTCACCTGTAAGTAAAGAAACGACAATAAAAGTTTATTGTTATCACCTCTCGATGCATATAGCTTAACTAAGTATGAAATTAATTAACAAATAAGATTAAAATACAATTCAACGATATCAGCATATTTGTCCTTTATATCTTTGACAATGACAACTAGCTTGACGTGACACGACGCGGCTCACTCACGAACTGCCAGTGCGCGCGGATATTCAAATTAAAGAGATCATTCTCTTTACATCTCCCTCCTCCGGGATGAGAATTGCTCCAGTAATTCTCATGGTAGCCGTACAATATTATTCAGCGTTATCCATCATTTATTCCACCGTCCATTCGAATAAGTTTTGTTATATGGTATAAGCTTGTATTCGTTTTTGTTCTGCCTGTGTTTATTTCGTATATTGTATTCGATATTTTGTCTGTTATTTCAAATGGGCCGATTCTTAAATTGTCCATTTTTTTCCTATTTAATTTGTTTCCGTTTTCAACATATACCAGTTCTCCTATGTTGAATTCACATTGTCTTCTGCCTTTATCAAATAATTTCTTATTATATGCATGTGATCTAATTGATCTTTCAAGTGCTTGTTGTCTATTTTGAACCCATGTTTCTGTATCTAATGGTTGTCGTAGTTCTTGTGGCAAAATGCTGGTGACTTTTCCTTCTAATAGATATACTGGTGCAAAGCCTGTCACTGTGTGCTCGGTCTCATTATACTTATCTATACATTCTCTTGCAATTGACGTCCAGGATTTCTTTTCATTCTTCTGATTTATTTTGCACCTCATTTTGTTAACCAGTGTTTGGTTCAATCTTTCGTTGAGTCCGTTTGAAAATGGTGTATCTACCGCAGTAAATATTAGTTTTACATCATTAGCTGTCAAAAATTCTTTGAATTCTTTTGAATTTAATCCTGGATACTGATCTGCTAGTAATATCTCAATGTTTTCCGTCTCCAGAACTTTTTTTACCAACTTGATGAAATCTGCAGCATTTTGCGTTTTTGATGTCAGAATGAACGCAAATCTTGTAAAATGATCAACTAACAAGTGTAGGTATTTCTTTGTTGATCTTTGTCCTCCAAAGCCACCAATGGTATCTATCGACATTATCTGAAATGGTTTTTCGGCTAGTCCCAGATGTGACATTAATCCGTATTTATCCTGGCCTCTCGATTTATTTTTTATACAGGTTTCACAATTGTTGCATATTCTTTTAATGTTTCTCGTTAAATTCTTTGCTGTATAATAAGGACTGATTTTATTTATCATTTGGTTGATCCCTAAATGACACCATTCGGTGTGTGTTTCCTTTATTAATTTCACACTCGCTTCTTCAGATAATATAACTTTTTCTCTGTTTCGATCTTTTTTGTATAGTATCCCATTTCTTTCGATTATTTTGGTTTTCTTTTCCTTTATTTTCTCGTTTTTCTGCTGATCTGCCTTAATATCATCTATTGTTATCAGATTCACCGTTTTTAAAATTTCTTCATCATTATCATTATCTTCCAATACTGGGTTTCTACTGAGACTGTCTGCTTCCGTATTATTCTTCCCCGGAATATATTTGATGTTGAAGTCATATTGTGACAGATAAAAAGTTAATTCACCAAGTTCATCATCTGTTCTAGCCTTTATGTTGAGGTTTTCTAGTGGTTTGTGATCCGAAAAAACGGTGAACTTTCTTCCAATCAACCAATATTGCCAGTATTTGATAGCTTCTTTTATTACTAAGCATTCAAGGTATATTGCCTTCTTTCTTTTTTGTGAATCATTGAGTTTTTTTGAAAAATAGCCAACTGGTTTTTCTTTACCATTTTTTTGAATCTGTTTTAATATTGCACCTATACCATTCAACGAGGCATCCGTGTAAATTGTAATAGGCAGGTCTTTATCAAATATTTCGAGTACCGGTTGTGAGCATAATATATTTTTTATATTAGAAAAAGTTTCTTCACATTCTTCTGACCATATAAACTGGGCATCTTTCCTCAATAATTTATGTAGTGGATCCAATAATATCGAACTATTTGGTATGTATTCGTGGTAAAAGTTAATCTTTCCCAGAAACTGTCTAATATTCTTTCGGGTTTTGGGTGTTGTAAAATTCCTTATTGAAATAATGTTATCTTTGAGCGGTTTTACCGTATTATTTCCTATTATATGTCCTAGGTATTTCACTGATGTTGCTGCAAATGTGCATTTTTTTAATTTTAATCTGAATCCTTCTTTTATTATTGCTTTGAGTACATTTTCTATGTGATCTATATGTTCTTCAAACGATTGTGAAAATATTAAGATATCATCAATGTAATTTTCTGTGAAGTCTTTCAAGTTATTATTTCTTAATATATTTGATAAAATTCTCTGGAAAATGGCAGGTGATGTTTTCAATCCAAATGGTAGGCAAGTCCATTGATAATGTCCATCCGGTGTGACAAATCCTGTCTTTTGTCTGTCC